CAAGCCTAAGTTTGTTTGATTGGATGAGCTACGGCTGTGTTGAAGAATCACCAACACGGGGGGTTCCACCCGTTGTGGCTTTTTTGGGCAAGGGGTTCCCCCTTTGAACGTTGCTGATTCCTGCCCATTGTATAATATTGCATGTTGCTGTTCTGGGCAAAAGCAAGAGTCGTTAAAACCCGTTCACAGGGGTCGGCCCCACCCGTTGTTTACCTTCCTACCTGGCCAACAAACTGGGATGGTGATCGTTGTGTATGGACTGGCCGTTAGGATTTTTCCGGTCAAGGGCTGCCCCAGCAACAAAGTCAGCGGGTGATCCCCAGCAGCGACTCGAATCGAAGGCATGATGAAAGCCTCACCGTACAGGGCGGTAACTCGTGATCCCCAAGACCTGAGAAACACAAGGCGACTCCCTTGGGCAACTTGTTTTTTTGTTCAGACACGTTGGGAACGCTGCCTATTTTTTCCCTTCCATTGAATGAATCCTGGAAATTAAGAAGGTTGACGATGGAAGGTAGGGATACAGAGAATGAAAGCATTTCTTAATAATAAAAACAAAATGTCTAAGATAAAGAAAGGAAATGGAAAGTGTGCTTTTATTAGGTTTGTGAGGGAAGTGTCTCTCCGTCAGTTCTATCGTTTACTCTCGTCTATAAATACTGACGGAGAAGGGCATGAACTTCCCTAAGGCAGGTAATTGCTAATAAAACTACAAACATTACATACAAATTAGAATTGCTATTACAGAAAGAACAATATTAAATGGAGAAGAGATATCCAATATGAAGATGCCTTTGCACTTGGCAACTGTCGCTCTGGCGCCACTTGCTGCATGGGGGATCCAGGCTTCTTTTGAGCCACTTAACTTAGGGCTGGAAGAATGGTTTAAGAGCGTTGCGTTTCTAGACGGTTCCGTCCAGAGCTCAAAGATCAGAAATTCTATTGGTGGCAATAGGCCACACGCCAACAGCAGCAGCTGTTATCTTGCACCCTGCGAACCGCGCATTGCTGACGTGGAGCCCGGGGAGCGAGGCTGCAGTCCTCAGTGGCGGAAAGCGTCAGGTTGATCTTCGTCCTCCCGAACTGGGCAGACATGGCATGCGTGAAGAGATGGACTTGGATGCTGGGCTGTTGCAAGTGGGTATCTTTGCTGACGTATGGATCGAAAGCTGGGGCTTGTTCTGCTTATGACACCCAGGGCTTCCAAGCCTCTGGTCGATTTATGTGTAAAGTTTTGATCCCGGCCAGGGTTTGGGGACCTTTGCCTTTTTGGGGGTGTCCAAACCGTCAGTCTGGGACTTCCATTCGCCGAAGCTGCAGCGTGGCCCCACAAGAAGACGGGTGCCCTGTCAGGGCCTACGGCTCGGGAGTTCCCTGCGCGGTTTCTTGCCCATGCGCGTGGGTAGCCAGGGGACGACATTATGTACAACCTAGAGGTAGCACCCAGAGGTAGCCATACCTAGGAACCTGGGTGTTGGTCTATGACATGCACAGTTTGACTTTGAGGGGATCAGCGAATTAAGGGGTGTTGGTGGTTTGGTGCGCATGCCCTTTGAACGTACTGGCAAAAGGGCACTGGATCTGTTCCGACCATGCAACTCAGAGACCCTCTCAGCCCCCCTCAGCCCCCCTCAGCCCCCCCTCAGCTGTGGCCTTATCTGCGCCACATCCCGAAGAAGAAGAAGAGTCAGGCAAGTGAAGGGGACACCAGAAACAGCTTTGGGCAGACCATTTCCTGAGGTTCTAACAGCCCTTCTTGGAGGGAGGGGGGCCTAGGTTGTCCGCCAAAGCCAGCATGAAAGTGCACTTGCCCCGGTCTATCCTTTTTGGAAGCCGGGAATCTCCTTTCGGGGGATCTTTGTGTTGGGTGCACAAAACGCAGGGAGGGATTGGTGAGCTTGGCCAAGTTTTCTAGGTGATTCCGACTACATCGGCATGGAGTACCCTAAGTGCTTCATACATCTTCATACCCCCAGCAAAGTCCACCTCAGTTTCATCCCCACGGAGCGGTGATTTATCGATGGACAAAATCCGCTGAAGCGCCAAGTGGGGCTTGTTTATCAAGCATTCCAATCGCTGGTTCGTTTATCTTAGCCGATCGATTCGCGCGGATTTTTCCGCTTGTGGCTCAGGTGGGCGCTTCTCAGAATAGGGGCCCCCTAAGATCGTTGGTTTCCTCTTGGTTTTCCTTTAAATACCCACCAATCAGGGGTCCGAATCCAATTGAGAAATTCTTTGAGGGGGGTGGGAGGGGACTCACACTGCGAGGCATCCTGTGTCTTGCGATCTTTGTCGCCCTGCTGATCTTAGGAGCTGGATTTGGTTCGGGAGGTCTGATGACACTGTGGGCGGCTCGTCTCTGTAACTGGATTTCGGTTTTCCCGAAAGGGTTTCCTTTAAGACCACAAACAAAAGGGCTTTGCCCCAAAAGACACACCCATGTCGTGGAACGGCCGGGATGTTTCTGGTGTTTTCGGTTCTCCATATGTCATGTTTGCAGAATGGTGCCCATGTTTGGAGGAATGCGAGATAATGCGAGTGATTCTTCGCAACATGGAGGGCGGTTTCGGTCATGCTTGGAGGCTGAGACTTTCGGATGACCCGCGGGGGTGGCATTTGAACGAACCTCCAATTGTCTTTTCCCCAGAGGCTCCATTCATTTTCATGACTTAGATCCCCAAAAGCGGGTTAGGTAAATAGAACCGGTAAACCAAGCTGCGGCCAAGTAGGAATGATGCACATAGGTGTGTCATTTTTGAGGGTACCCTTTTTTGGGGGTTTCAATGGGAAGCCAAAAGGAAAACCAAACATGTTTGGGGGTGCCCCAACAACAGACACCCATACCCTTGTTGGAGAGACAAGAGCTGGAATGCACCTAACCCCAACTTTGTCACCGGTCGATCCGCTGCCGTGAAACACGCCCTCTCCGAATTCTGGCTCTAGCCGACTCCAGTCTGGAAAGCCTGGGGATTTCGGTGTACCCAAAAGTGCAAAATTTGTTCGGATGGGGCCCATTTTTTGTGCGCATGTCTTTTGGGTTTTTGTGCTTAGAGTAACTCGGATTTCGGGGAACTTGTGGAGCATCTGTTGGCCTCGAGCTGATGGCGTTGTGAGAGGCGAGTGGGCGGGTACTGGGAATCGATGGGGAGGACACCCATGAAAATGGGGAGCGGACCTCATTTGAAAGGAGACCAGCCATAAGGGGCCACGAAACCAAGAAGCAAGGACCCCCCCCCATTGGTGGAGCGTAGCAGCCTAAGATCGTTCACTTGGCTTGTTGCCAGAGGCTTGCCAAACCGGGTCCAAGGTGGGGAAGGTGGACGTTGGCGCCATTTGACAGGAAGGCCCCTGCCTACGGTTCCTTTGCAGGCTGAACTATGGCTGTGGCTCGTGTTTGTTGATTGCCCCCGAAAGGGGGGTGAGCTTAAAGGCAGAAAGAACACCGCAGTTCTTGGGGTCCCCCAGTTTCGCAAATACGAAGGTAGTACTGTTGACCCCTCCTGTTGGACTGCTTTGGAGGCTCCGATAAATGATGAAGGATCCCCCTCGAGAATGGACCGGACACGTCTCTATCAAAATGAAACAGATTGATCCGTTGGGGCAGTCCAGCATCCACAACCCCCCCCCTTCATGCTTCAGGGAAATGGGGAACCCGGCCTGGAGGATTTTCCTTTTTTGTTTGCGAGCCGAGCCCTGAACACCAAACCAGAGAAGATATGGGACAGCCCCAAGTGCATCCCAGTGCATCCCAGTGCATCGCAGTGCATCCCAGTGCATCCCAGGCAAGCACTTTTAGTAGGCCCATGTTGCTTTGTTTGAAACATATGGCTGTGGCTCAAGAAGCCAGTACCAAAATGGAACCCTGGTATGTGGAATCATTGACCAACACCTGCGTAACCTCTCCTGCTTAATTTCGAGCCACACCCATATGGGGTGGTGCGCAAACCCTTACAGATTACATGAATCCAACTTATTCTACCAAACCTCGAACGCCTTTTATTTAACCCTTAACTTCACTACTATTAGGTTAACACTTTAAACTTTAACTTTTTTGGAAATCAATGGGGTTTTCCCCTAAACCCCCGAAAAGTTACACCTTTTGCAGGGGATCGTTCCAGCAACCAAGTAGAACGGCCCCTGTTGCGGCGGCTTCCGGCCTTTGCCGGGCCCAGATTGTGCTTTGGGAGGAAAAAGCAGGGATGCTCTTCAACGGGACCAGCTGCTCTCCCCCCCCCCCAATTCTTTCCACAGATTCTTGGTATGAATGATTTGCCCCAGCGCCAAAGCAACAGTTTTTAGGGTGTCTCAACAGAGGGGTGAAAAGAACGGATCAACTTGTGCAGTCACTGAGGCACGAATCAGGTGCCTGGCCATCTTGCTTAAGCTGACGTTCTCGCGAACACAGAGCACGCAGTTCAAGCTGGCAAACTTGCGCCGGCTTACCTTTGCATCTCGCACTTTTCGCAGTCTCTCGATATGATATGGGTCATGTCAGCCTTAAGCCCATCCCAGAACCATTATGTGGTTGAAATGTTTGAGCGATGAGTCGATTTCACCCAGATATCACCCACTTAGGGCTTGCTGCCTGGGAGTATCAACCTTCATGTGGCGGTCATTCAAGCATTTGACACCAAGGATCTTTTCTTGGGCACCCTCCGTTGGTCGGCAACTGGTAGGCCATTGACTCAAAAAGTCGGACTGATACGCCAAGATTCGACCCCCACGTCATACAGATCTTGTTCGCAGAGGGGTGGCTGTGTTGCGAGGGCACCCTTCTTGGTGTTGGTTTGAAGGGAAACGAAAAGGACCACCATCATTTGGGGGGGCCCTATTTTGATACATGCCCATATGGTGGTGATACACGGCGTTCCTACTGTGGGTGGAATTGTTTGTTGGCATTTCCAGCGGAATCATTCTAGGGTTTCTTAGGAGGTGCGCAAAGGGTTTCGTCCATCCACGGTATCACTGGCCATGTGACACGTCGCATCGACGTCGGATCGATGGACCTCATTCCACCCGCGCCGGTGCTTGCGCGGCCGGCGCTGTCGCGGTTGGAACGGCGCTCGGGGCGGAGGAGACTCCTGGCGATGCGGTCCAGGCGTGACCCAGGCCCATAGGTGTCCTTTTTTGGTTGTTTTGGCGGAAAAATCGATGGCCCTGGTTTAGCTGGTGTGTTTTTCTCTTTTTTGTTTCTTTTCTTTTTTTTTATCATCCACCAGGGCCATCAATTTGCCCTAAAAGGACACCTATGCCAGGCCCCAAAAAAAGCCCAAGAGGAGAGACCTCTTTGTCGTATCCTTCTCGGAAAGCTGGCGCGAAGATGAGTTCAGGCCAGGGTGATCCAGCTTTCCCCTCGTTTGGCGAGGGAGCGACCCAGAGCTTTAAACCTTTGGGCCCATGCGGCGATTTGTTCCAAAGCGGAGGGTTTTTTAGGCCGAAGGATTGGCGCTGTCCAGATTTGAGAAAGTCTAGGTCGTCCAGTAGTGCCCTAGAACCGTTTCTTTTTTGGGGGGAGGGTGCCCCTACTAAAATAGGCTACAGAAAAAAGGGTACCCTTGTTGTAACCTCTGCCACCTTTGCTTCTGGAAGATCAGCCAGGCGTCACTTGGCGCTTTAGGCCTGGCCCTTCGAAAGCGAGAAAGAGTGGGAATAGCGTAGATGTCGTTGGTCATTTTCCGCGCAACGTTTAAGACCAACCCGGTGGTAATATAGTAATATACGGTAATATACCTTCACTCCCGTCCATGGGGGTCACATGGCTTGTTGAGTGATCTCCAGAAGGGCTATTATTGGCTATTCCGCTTGGACCATCCCATGTAGTAGTTTATTATTGTTATTATTATTATTATTATTATTATTATTATTATTTTTATGCTTATTATTATTACCCAGAAAGAACCGCATTATATCATGTGGAGTTATGCAGGGGTCTTGTAAACTGGAGATGTTCGCCACTTTTTTTGGGGCTGTCGAGTAAGGCCCAAGTTCAGGCCTCCTTTTTTTTAAAGGACATGCCAATTAATAAGAAGTGTACTTGTTCCGGAAGTGTTCGGTATGTATAAACAGCAAGCATCAATCAGCTGTGTCTTTCCTGGGGTACCCCCACCCTCAAAAACTGCAAGTTTCCCTTTGCTGTCCTCTCAAAAAGACAGGGGTCTTCTATGGATGCACTTGCAGTTCGCCTATCTGGAGGTAATTTTTGTCAACCCCGGATCAATCGACATGGACAAGGGGGTACACCAAAGCCGTTCCACAGAATTAAGCAAGGTGGCTCGGCCTTTCGATCAAGAAGTGTTCTTTTCTTTTTTAGGCGTGACTTGAACTCGGCGCGGAAAAAACAAAACAAACCCTCGTGTGGAGTTTCAAGTGACGTTTTGGGAGTGACATGTTCTGCGCGGAGACCAACACCTCTCGCCAGGTTGACCAGAGTCGTGTTTTCCCCATTATAGGTGAGGTTTCTTGACCATTTTGTGCGGCGCGCAACAAACAAAACGACCACAAACAACCTCTGGTTTCAAGTGACCAGAGCCGCGTTTTCGTCCAGGTCCGGCGCCGCGCTGTGCTTCGCCTTCGCCGCGTTCCCGGCCGCCGCGTTCCCGCGCCGCGCCGGGCGGCGCTTCGGGAGGGCCAGAGGCGCGGCGCTTCGGGCGAAGAAGCCGGCGCCGATGCCGGAGACCCAACGGGTGTACCCGGCCAAGGACGGAAGACAGCTGGGGACAGCCAAAGGGGGAGGGGGGTTCAAACATTTTCGGACTTCCCGGACAAGTGGAAACAAAGATCAAAGATCTCCTCTTCTATGGAAAGTCCGTTTTTTTTGGTGGGCTCTTTGAGGGGGCCAAGGGTCCCAAAGGGAGGGAGGAAAGGAACATTTTGAGCCTCGGTTGAAAGCGCCACAAGCATCGCCCCATGCATCGCCCGCTCAAAACCGTGCCGGAGAAGTTGGGATGATCGTTTTCCAATACCATCCGCTGGCAGAAACCGGAGGACAAGACTTACGTGCCCAATTCTCGGTTGTTGTTGGGACACATTTTCCAATTTTGCTTATTGTGGTTTAGTGGTAAGGAAATCCCAACTTAACTGCTAGCAAATGAGTTGTTGCTCCCCTTTCAACGTCAACCAAGAATTTTGGTACAACAGAAACAAACCAGAAATGGAAATACGCGGCAGCCCAACCCGACGACGCTTTGCCATTGTCAAACGCCGACGGGGGGGGGAAGGTCCTGGCACGGAGTTGGGGTTTCCTTCAAGGACTTCTGTTCTGACCTTACGGAAGTTCCGGTCGGCTCCTTTCCCTTCGTGAAGATTCCACTGGAAGCTGAGGGGATTTCTGGGTTGCCCGTCATCCACAGTAGCTGCTCGACTCTGCCAAGAGAGGTGGGGCTCCGCTTTTTCTCTCCCTCTTTCAGATGTTCAACGGCAACCCCAATGGGGCAAATTCCTGGTCCACCGGCTTGGTGAGAGGATCTTTGCAGCCGCTGCGGGCTCTGCAACTTGGAGAAGCTCGTGAACCCAAGCAAAGAACGGCGTTTGGTCCCCCAAAAGCCTACAAGCTTTCGGAACATGTGACCGAGCGCGTGTAGTGAAGTGTTTGAAAGGTTTCCCCTCCAGCTCTTTCTGGACTCCTCTACCTGGTCTAAAACTTTCAGGGTTCTTGCATCCAGACTCCAAACAGCTCGTGGTGTTCGGGGCAAAGGCTCAGGAAGTGCAAACATGTTCGACCGGCTTCAATCTTTTGGAACATGACAATAGTTCCCGTTCCCCCACAAAGCAATCAATGTGTTGGCTAGCTTTCTAGCTACCATATCATTCACTTCCCGAGCTCCCGGACTTGATACTTTTTGGGAAGACCATTTTAGTGGCAAACAACAAGTTTTGAGCGGTTTGGCCAATCCACTCGGTCGGAAGTGAGATCAAGAGCCTCGTGGGTTGATCTGTTTCACAGCAGTTTTCCCACTCGTGAACCAGTTCACTCTCCAATTTACTTGTAATTGTACATGCTTGTTTTGTCGCAAAGAATGGTTGGTGTACTTGCAACATTTAGGCATCCACTGTATTTGCCCCGAGTGCGTCAACCAGCTTCCAGTTTTGGACTCTGACGACAGTTTCCGGAAGCCTTTACGAGATGGGTGGCTAATCTTGTTTTGAGGTCGGTTTTGAAAGGGAAACCAAAAGGAACACCCTCAAACGAGGGTCCCCGAAAGAGACACCTCAAATACCCCACTTAAGTTTGGACATGAGCGATATTAGTATGATGGGTCCTTGCTAAGAATCCAATGGCCCAGACCTTCTGCTTCTTCGAGTGTCCCTCAGTCAATCAAAAAGCACGCAAGTTGTTTGGAGGTTTCTCTCAGTAGCGGTCCCGTAAATCGGTCGGTTTCCTTTTGCTTTCCCTTTGCTGCCGATTTCAGGGCTCCGAAGTCCGATTTTTGAGAAACACGATCTTTTTGTGAACCACACTTGGCAACATCTTGACCCCACAGTCGGTTTCACCAGAAGTCAACCCCCCGACTTAGCGATACCCCACCCCGCCCCACCCCACCCCCCGGCCAAGGCAACACCTCCTTGATCTCCAAGGTGCAGTCCGCCTGCGCCTTCCTGGGGCACGGTATGCTGCGCATTGATTCCCTCGAGAGCCGCGTGCACGGCAGGCGGGCCGTGCCCCGTTTTTTTTGGTGAGCGGATGTCGCGTTTGGTTTGAGCCTAAGGCGAAAAGGGTAGCCTCAAAAAGCACTCGTGGGGACTCGGAGTCCGCGGATATTCACATTACCCTCCCTCCAACCCTGGAAGCTGAGGATCGGGTGGAAGGCTTCTGGGGAGGCCGATCGTCCACGTCCGTTGGACAGAAGGCATCCCAAAAACTCACGGGAAGTCTGAAGCGGGGCGCATCTCTCCAACTTTGGCACCCAACAATCTTGGCAGGGTCCCCGACCCTCAGTACCTCTCCGTTTTTCTGCCAACTTGGCTTGCCCCATTTTGGAGGCACGGGTCATCCAGCATCGCTTTTGTAGTCAGCATGTGCTTTCTCACTTTTTCCGGCAGGCAACGCACCGAGGAGGACAGGCCCGACAAGTGGACGGAAACTCACCGGTCCAAACGCAGGGGTTGGACACATGGGTGGTTTTTCTCTCGAGGCTCGGTCGCCTTTTCAGGTGATTTTAAAGGGAAGCCAAAAGGAACATGAAACGCGCCATTCTTGGGGTCCGAATCCCTATGATCCACATGGCTGCCTTTTTCTCTTGAACCGAGCTCAGGAAGATCCTCTTGGGCGTCCAGCAAATTTGTTGGTTTTGGAACTCAACGAATTTCATTCCTGCGGATTCTTGTTCAGGTGCGTTTTTTTTGGCCCTGCCGCCTTTTTGTTTTCCCATTGGAGTGTTTGCCCAAAATCAACCAAAGGCTAACAGGTCCTTCGGAACAAAATTGAATCGTTTGGTTGGGCCCTGGGCCAAAGCGGTTCGCTCGGAGACCCACGACAGTTGGATCCTATTGCGCAAGGCGGTTTCCCAGCCATACGGCTCCTTGGACGTTGGAGTTTAGAGGGTTTATGACATGTCCCACTGAAATGTTTCAACATGTAGCAAGGGCTCAACGTAGCACGATTTGTGAAATGGTTGGGCTTCGTGATAGCGATTGTGGATGTGCAAAATCCTGCACTGGTTGCTTGGCGGTTCATTCCCCAACAGCTGAAAGCTAAGGGGCCTCTGCCCAAATAAGCTATGGGTGTCTTTTGTTCGACCACCATTTTAGGAGGGTCCCCCAAGCACAGGCGTACCCATATTTTGCAAGGGCACCAAAGGGAACCAAAGGGACACTAGTAACAAGACCTCGCCCATTTGGTTACTGGAACCCAACGAACCCGAAATGGGCTCTCAACCCACCTTGTACCCCAGGAGCTGTACTTTGGGGTGGCTCAGCACGGGATCCACTCCATCCGAACCAAGCCGCAGCATGCGCCAAAGACGCGCACCGCGTGGACAGGGGCCGCCCGGACCTGGTTTAGGAGTCGAATGTGAACATTTTCCAGCGGATGCGGCTATGGGTCAAAACCCTGTACCCCTGGTGAAGGTGGCAAATGGATGTTCATCCGCCCCAAAATGGAGCCACAGGTTATGCCCCATGGCCATGTATTTGCACATGGAAGACTCCAACTTGGTGATGTCCTTACGTTTTCACCCAGCAGCTTTCAGCGGCGAGGGTCATGAGCTCACCCCTGATGAAGATCCCTTGCTTGGAAAAGGCCAACGTTTTCCACGGGGGATCCGATCTCAATTCATCCCTTGCTCCATGGGAAAGCATGGAGCCGACAGATATATCAAACTGACCCACGAAACCCAGAGGAATACTGAGCCACCACATACTTTTCGTGTTTTTTTCCCTCTGCGCTCAGGGCTACTGCTCAACCGTTGGCATTTACTCGGAAATCATTATCGGAAACTAGGACTTCTTAGGTGGTGCGAACGTCCATCCGTGCATGATTCTTGGGGAGAACAAGTAGAGAAGCTTACGAGTTCTGACCCATCCATCCATCCATCCGTCCGTCCGTCCGTCCATCCATCCAGCCAGCCAGCCAGCCAGCCAGCCAGCTAGCCCCCCACCCCACCCCACCCCACCCCACCCCACCCCACCCCACCCCACCCCACCCCACCCCACCCCACCCCACCCCACCCCACCCCACCCCACTCATACCTTCGAGGTGGTCACCGCCATCGCCTGCGAGATGCTGCGGTCCAACAAAGTGGACGCAGTGCTGTGCGTGGCCTCGAAAGGCGGGAGTCGGCGGTCCGGTTTGGAGGCGGTTCGGACTGCGGGTTTAAAGGGGGCTACCCTCAAGGGTCGACTGAGGAAATTGGCATCAACTGACTGCTTCAACCTTTTCTAGGTCCCCCAGTAGTGCCCTTTTACCAACTTTTTTGGGGGGAGGGTTCCCCTACCAAAATAGACAACGGACAAAAGGGTACCCGTATTCTAACCTCTCTACTGGGCCAAACAAGCGATTGTCAACCTGTTGGATGGCTTTCCGGCGAAGTGATCACTCACTTCCCGAGTTCCTGGATAGTCACTTTTTGGGTTTGGTTGCCATTTTGGGTGAACCAAAAGTTGAAAGACTTTCTCGGGCCAATCCACGCGTTCGGAAGTGAGTCAACATCTGTCCTTTTGACAACCCTGGAGCAACTCGGGCAATTGCGGATTCTGCATACCAAACAGGACTCTTAGTGGCGATTTGGTCCAACAGGGTGAGCGAATCGGGCCAAGGAGAGACTGATCTTTCGAAGATTTGCTCGTTCGGGCTTGGATTCACCCAGAAAACGGGGGGATGCAAACGAGAACTGCTCACGTGCTGGTGCATGGAAGCAATATATTTTGAGAAAGTGACCCCTGAACCCCAACTCACGGAAGGTTGGGGGAAGTGCAACGGGGGGTTTCTCAAAAACAGAAGCTTGGTTGTTGTTGTTGTTGTTGTTGTTGTTGTTGTTGTTGTTGTTGTTGTTGTTGTTGTTGTTGTTGTTGTTGTTGTTGTTGTTGTTGTTGTTGTTGTTGTTGTTGTTGTTGTTGTTGTTGTTGTTGTTTGTTGTTGTTGTTGTTGTTGTTGTTGTTGTTGTTGTTGTTGTTGTTGTTGTTGTTGTTGTTGTTGTTGTTGTTGTTGTTGTTGTTGTTGTTGTTGTTGTTGTTGTTGTTGTTGTTGTTGTTGTTGTTGTTGTTGTTGTTGTTGTTGTTGTTGTTGTTGTTGTTGTTGTTGTTGTTGTTGTTGTTGTTGTTGTTGTTGTTGTTGTTGTTGTTGTTGTTGTTGTTGTTGTTGTTGTTGTTGTTGTTGTTGTTGTTGTTGTTGTTGTTGTTGTTGTTGTTGTTGTTGTTGTTGTTGTTGTTGTTGTTGTTGTTGTTGTTGTTGTTGTTGTTGTTGTTGTTGTTGTTGTTGTTGTTGTTGTTGTTGTTGTTGTTGTTGTTGTTGTTGTTGTTGTTGTTGTTGTTGTTGTTGTTGTTGTTGTTGTTGTTGTTGTTGTTGTTGTTGTTGTTGTTGTTGTTGTTGTTGTTGTTGTTGTTGTTGTTGTTGTTGTTGTTGTTGTTGTTGTTGTTGTTGTTGTTGTTGTTGTTGTTGTTGTTGTTGTTGTTGTTGTTGTTGTTGTTGTTGTTGTTGTTGTTGTTGTTGTTGTTGTTGTTGTTGTTGTTGGGAAACATGTTACTTGTTTGTTTATTGTGATTTAGTGGTTGAAATCCAAATCCACTGAACTGCTGATGTAAATTGTTGCTCCCCTTCCAACATCAACCAAGGAAGGTCCCCTGTTGATTTTCTAGAAGGTGTCCCCACCTCCGTGAGCAGCCGTGCTTGCCTTGTGGGTGGGAGGCTGCCACCGGAATTTGAGCCACAAACCCGGGTCCCGGTGGACGTTCACCCGCCTTTTTTGGTCACCCGCCTCTTTTTTTTCTCACGGAATGGTCAATTTACCTAGGCTTGACAGCGTTCCCGCTATGCGTATGTCTCTGTATCACCACCTTGTGTCTCCAAAAGCGATTAAAGCCAGCCGGGCTGCACCGCTTTGGGGGTCTGTTCATTTTAGTGGCTGCAAGAAAAACACCGATTTGTTGGCTCACCTGGCAAGGATTGGAAAGACAGCAGTCATACGGGGGTTGTCTTTTTTCTGGAGGGTAGCCCTTTTTCGTGGTTTCAATTGGAAACCAAAAGAACACCAGAGCCATGGTTTCAGTATGTTAGGGACTCCCTAAAGGGGTGAAGGGTTGGGGCGGGTCCCGAAGGCTTCCAGGCTCCAAGAAAGACCCTAAGGCAAAGGGGGCTTACCTTCCCCTGCTTGTCGCCCCCCTTCGGGGTTCAGTCAGTACCAGCGTTTCAGGTGACGGCGCACAGCTGGAGCCGAAGCCGATCCTGGCGCGCACGGAAGCGGAGGTCTTGAGCAGCGGTGGAGTGAAGCCAATGCTGAGCCCAGGCAGATCTCTTCGGTTGCTTTCTGATTTTTCCTTTCTGCTTGACTTTCAAAATGCATAGACCAGGGTTTCCCTCCATTTTCTTTTTTGGATCCAGTAAGTTGATCAATTTTGGAAGGGGTCCCTGACTTTCTTCCACTTGCTTAAGCATATTTTTGTATTTGCCCCTGTTGGTTAGGTATGCAAATGGAAGCTTTCAGGTAGACCAGAGGTTCCAGCCATTTTCCTTTTTGGAACCAGGAAATTGATCAACTTTGGCAGAGGAATCCAGTGCCCCCTGTAAGTTGGTTCTTTGTCACTGGATTTCCCCAAATAAATGGTTGATCGTTTCCCGGCTTCCATTCAACCTTCGCCACGCTAGGCAACTCAAAAAGGGACATGGAGGGAAACCTGATGATTTCAACTACCAGATGATGGTTTGGGTGGGTGGTTTGGATTCGGATGTGAAGCTGGTTCTTGTAAAAGGAAAAGGGGAAACGATTCTCTGAACCACCAACCAGACCACCGCGCTCGAAACCACCAATTGGATGGAAGTTGAGGCCTTGTTGACTGTGTTGTTGGTGGTTTGCTATGTAACAATGTTTTGCGTTTGTCGCGTTGACATCCATTGTCGCCGTTTGCTGTCAGAATGGCATAGTCAAAGAATTTGTTATTGACTCCATACTCTGTATCAAAACAAAATAGGTTCTGCACCATGATATGTGTGATCCCTTGCAAGTACGGAACACCAAACACAATTTTGCTGCATGTTTTTTGCGCTCGTTGCTTTGTTCTTATGTTTGGGTTCCTGAAATTTGCTGATGGGGTCGTGCAACGTGGAGCCGAATCGGGTTCTTTCCCTAAAACGACAACCATTGGGTCAATCTGGGCGGTAGTTCCCTCCAAGAAGTTGGCTCTTTGAGTTACACCCTAACAACCCGCCAGGTTCGTCGACAGATGGAGCACCATTTTGAGATGAAATAAAGAAACATGTGCTGCATGTCTTTTTGGTCTCTAATTTACATCTTTGCAACACAATCTGTTGTGGAGCACCATCTTCGGGAATGCAAAAAAAAGCGGGACCCAGGGAACCCACATCATAGCCTGCCCTTGGATGCGTTTGGATGGCGTAAGGAGCCCCAACTTGCTGCCCCTGGAAGAGCTTTGGCAGGCTCGGTGGGGCAACCAGGGCCACCGGGGCAACCGGGGCAAGCAAAGCACGCCTTGGGTCTGCCGCTTTTTTTCGGGGAAACCTTTTTCTGGTTGGCTGAGAAAAGTGAGCAGCGCCCAAAACCGATTCCTATCAGCCATTGTTGGTGGTTCCACCACCTGGCTTCATGGGGTTTATAGTAAAGGCCCATATCAACCATTGCAGCGAGGTTGGTAGCAGAACCGGTGCAAGCCAAGAACATTGATGCGAAGCCAATTGCTTTGCAAGCGAGGCCCTAGTCCTTTTTCCAGGGCCTGCCGACTGAGAGAAGAGTCACTCGTTTTGTTCCGCCTTCGGTTTCGCTTTTCACACAACAAAGGACAAAGAGCACACAACTTCTTGAACCAGCTACCTGCCCACAAGGCAACCCCAAAATTTTCGGAATTTGTTGCGAAATCTCCTGGACAGGACCCCCGGTCAGTGTGCAAAGTACCCTGGCTCGGTCCACTTGGTGGATCGAGCCATCACGTCAAATGCGCCATCCTCCCTCCCAGCATGGCAGTGCACCGGGCTCCGTTGGTTTTCATCTTGGGGTTTGTCCAGGTTTTCTTGGGAGGGCTGTGAAAGGACGACTCGTTGCCCTTTTCTTGCTTGCCACCGGCCTTGCCCCTTGTATACACTTGGGTGCCCCAAAACCAGTTAGGTTCCATCATGCAAGGGAGTGGCTTGGGGGATTCCAGCACCAGCCCTAAAAGGGCCAGTTGAAGAGGTGTCTGCTTTTGGCGGGGTGGTATCTTTTTTGTGTTTTCCCCCCGGCAAGTTTGGCTTGTTGGGCCACAGGATGGGTCTCCTTTTGGTCTTTCTTTGGTCGCAAAGAACATGGCTTATTTGTCCCCTTCTTGGTTTTGAGGGAAGCGATTTCACTACTGGACATATATTGTTTCTTTCTTGTTTTGTCGCAAAACAGCGGATTTGCCGTATTAGACCCACAACAAATGAAACACATTTGGCAGAGGGGTCGTTACAGCAACCAAGGAGTATTCCAATCAAGTACCTTCCACTTGATTAAGAACAATGCCCCTCTTCGTACAATTTGCGCACATGGAAGTGACAACCCCCCTTTCCAACAGGAAAGTCGTCTTTCTAAAGGACTCTGTGCACTTCCACGGAATCGTCGGAAGGGTATTTCCCTGGTTTCCTATAAGGGAATCAATTTCACTTCGGCTGGTCCTTCGGGGAACAATACCAAGGGTTGGCAGACATCCTGCAGATGGCAGGTTTGTGGTCAGCCAGGCACCTTTTAGCCAGTCACAAGGATGGTCTCAAAGGCCTATCAAAAGTGGGATGGGCACCTCCACGGTTTTTCGGCTGGTCCTTGCGGGTCGGACCTCCGCTTCCTTCCGCTTCCCTCAGCCCCTCGGCGCTGGGAGGTGCGCGGAGGGGAGATCCGGCGGCTGCTCTTCATCGGCGTGGGCTGCCAGGTGCAAGCGCTGAGGGCCGTGGAGGAGGATCTGGGCCTCGAGGACGGCCGCCCGGCCATCCGGTTCCGTGGCTTCTTGGCTTCTTGGCTTTTTGGCTTTTTGTGGCCTTTGGCTTTTGTTGGCTTTTGTTGGCTTTTGTTGGCTTTTGTTGGCTTTTGTTGGCTTTTGTTGGCTTTTGGCTTTTTGGCTGTTTGGCTTAGCTGTTTAGCTTTTAGCTTTTTAGCTGGTTGGCTTGTACCTTTGTTGCTTTTTCGTGTTTTCACTTTTTTGCCTTTTTTTTCTCACTTTTTCACCTTTTCTCTTTTAGCTTTATTGCTTTATTGCTTTTTCGCTTTGTCCATTTTGGGTGGGTTTAGTGGTTGGATTTCCCCATTTAGCCCACTAAAAGTTATTCACTTTTGGCAGAAAATCTGAGGTCCGTCGTTGTTTTTTGGATTTTGCCGCCCAGTCTTTTGGGATCCGCCGTAGAATGTGGACCGCGGATGAACTTTATTAGAGAACCTCCTCAAAAGTGCTTGGCGGACCATTTTTTATCCCCCCTTAACTCTGGGGTCTCCTATGCTGCATGTGTGGGACATATGACTCCAACTTCGGATTCAGAGGGGTTGACCGATTCATCCAGAGGGTTTGACCCATTCCAGGTCCCCCAGTAGTGCCCTTTCTCACCCTTTTTTGGTTGGGGGGGGTTCCCCTACTAAGATAGACAAAAAAGGGGAAAAACTGGTGCCAACTTATTCTCACCTTAAAAAACTGGAGGACCTAGCATTCAAATTCACAAGTTGTTTTTTCCAGGAGCTCTACGTGCTGGGCACCAACTGCGTTGACAACCCTCGGAGCCCTGAGGCCCTGCAGCGGTTCCTCAAGAGCGCCAGCGAGTTCCCGGACACCGCCGCCGGCTTCGAGTTCATGCAGGACACGCTCTTTCGCGCCGAGAAGCGGCGCGGTGTGCTGTACAGCTGCCTAGAGTCTCCTTCTGACCCTGAGAAAATGGTGGGTCATTGCCTAAGATAATGGGGTCACGGACCTATTTTTAGTTCGGGTCATGGAGACTCCAGGTGCTTGACAGCTCTTGCCATCCGGTTCCTTAGCTTTTTGTTGTTTGCTTTTTGGTGTTTAGTGGTAGGTGTTTCCATGTAACCCACTAAAAGTTAGGCACTTTTAGCGGGGGATCTGAGGGCAGCCCAGAGCTGCTTTCAGGGTTTCGGAGGATGAAAGGTTGGCCAGTCCAAACATTGCCTTTGACAAAAGGTGGGTGTTGCCTGTTGCAGGGTACCGTTTCACTGGGTCAGTTGGGGGATTGATAGGTTTCCCGAAAGGGGGGGGTTCTTAGAACTGGATTTTTGGATTGACTGACGCCCTTGGCCCACAAAGATGTGTTTTTTGCAGGTACAGCTGGGTTTTTGGGGATGCGGACCCTGAGAAGCGCCATTTGTTTGTTTTCCTTTTTCCGCTGAAAGCGTCTGAAGTGGTTTGGAGCAGTTTTCAGGGGGGGTTCGAGAGGAGGGTTCCAGGGTTTCTGGAGCTGTGGATCCACCTGTGGTCCCAAGGACAAATCGCCAAGTTTGCACCGGCATCCCTTTCAAAAGTGGTTGGTGGACATAAAGCTTCAGCTATATTTGGGGTCTCCTCCACAAGAGTCATTTATTTTGGAGGTAGACTAACTATGCAGAGTCATGACATTTACGACTTGTTGGTTATTCCAAATCTGGGCGAAGCAAATGGTGACCAGTTTGGGTCCCCAAGAAATGCAGACGCTTCACCCTGAGGACAACCGCATCCATGTGAAGCACAGCGACGGCCGCTACGAGCGCATCCCCGTCTTTTCCCTGAAGGACAGAAACGCGCTTCGGTTGGCATCCCGAAAGCCCACACGGAAAGCCATGGATTCCAATCAAGTACCTTGCACTTGATTAAGAATATGTTTTATTTCCCCCTCTTGGCTTTGAAGGAAATCGCTTTCACTGCAAATAGGTTTTTTGTTTTCTCAGGGACGTATTCGCAAATGGAGGGTGCCCTCCCATCCATTAGAAACCAGAGCCTCAGGTGCCTTTCGGAGCGAAGTCAGGTTCCATGTTAGATGCCCTCCCACCAACTAACATGGAAGTGCAAAAGGGCCAACTAACCAAGAGGAAAGTAGTCTTTCTACAGGGGTCTGTGCAGTTCCCTGTTAACTGGTGGGAGGGTAGTGTGCGGGAGGGTACTTGGCCATTCGGCCGAGTTAGCAAAGTTGTAACCTACGTCGTAATCCACCTCCCCGAGCGGAGTTCGCTCGGCCACGGCTTTTCTCGCTTGGCGGATGTTCGGGAAACGTTTGTGCTATCGCAATTTTGGCCAACCCAGAAACAGTTGAAACTCGCAGCTGGGGCAAACTATACAAATGCATATGTATACAAAACGGATCATACTATATCTATATATATATATATACACATGGTTGGTTGACACCCCGGGGAAGCCATCGCTTTGACTGGCTCAAAATCCCGCGAGGACCCGCAGATGTGCACCGGGGTCATCGCAAAGAGCTGCTACGCCTGCTTCGACTACGTGCGGCACGGCGTGGAAAGAAACAACCCCCCCTTTGTAGTACCATAGACTTAAGTTCAGTGGTTGAGTTCCAACCCGTGGTGAAAGGCCGGTTTTCTTGGCGCAGGGTTGGCGACCCTTCTCCAAATAGGTGCCCTCCTCGAGAATCACGATCCATTTTCTTGGAGTTCCGCAAACAAAGAAGTTAGTATAGGGTGAAAGTAGAGGGCGCTCTCCCCCGTTAAAGTCTAAATGGGCAGGCTACGCCATCTGTCGTGATCCTTGTAGCACCCGCATGGGTGTGTCAACAAAACAAAACACGTGGTTTGACTTTTGTTTCCCTTGAAACCCCCGCACCCCTGGAAGGGCACAAAAGACACCCCCATGGCTGCTCTTCGGTTTTCCTAATCTACGGGTCCTCTTAAAGGAGCCGCACCTGTTGGGAGTTTTTTGGTAAGTGGTCAATTTCCCTGGCTGATGCGGCCCCCGAAACTTTAGGTCGGGGGACTCGAAACTCGAAACCAGTGGGTGGAGGGGGCATTGCAGAATTCTGCAATTTGGGGGAACATCTTCTGACCCAAAAAACAAGAGGTGTCTAAACCTGTGAAGAATTGGGCATGCTGGGATGTCGATTCTTTATGGCTACAGAGGTTGAACCTTTGGACTTTAACTGTTTGGTTGAACCAGGCCGGATTTTCCAGCGGATTTTTGCTTATTTGGGTCAACAGCCCCTCAATTGGTGCAGGATCTTGCGCCCAAAACTCCCTGGTTCACTCAAAAGGCTTTGGGCAGGTTCCGCCGGCTTTGCTCCTCTACTTAAATTCGAGTTATGACCCCAACAAAAATGGGCAGACCAACACCCCATCCCCGTTTCACCACCTCGACAACCCCGGGGGTGGCAAAACTAGAGTTGGGCGTTAAGCTCGGGAATGGTCAGTGAGTGATGGATTCATGGCCCATAGGGGTACATGACCCCCCAAACATGTAGGTTGGTCTTCTCCGTTTAGGGGTGAAAACAAAGAGACCAAATGAATCGCTGCAAGCGTGGGGTCAAAGCGACACATTGGCATCATGTTACTTCCCCCCTCCATTTGATCAGGCTGGAGACCCATTCAACGGGCTTTGGTGCAAGAGGCCCCTAGCTTCTTTGTTCTTGACCCCGTCAATCGCTTTCGTGAGGGTGTATCTTTGTTTGGGGGGAGCCCAAACTGTTGGTTGGTTCTAAGAGGGAAAAGCAAACGGACACCGGGGAGAATTCTTAAGGGTCCAACCTTAGATGCACCCAGAGAGCCCCCGAAAAGGCGGTGGGTTTCTGAGACTTCAGTCGCTTCCGGAGGAATGCGCTCACGGACCTGACCGTGGGCTATATGGGTGCTCCGTGGGAGGGCAAGGAGCGAGTGCCGAGCCATTGAGAAGCCGGGCGTCCCTTCAGGAGGCTTCCATTTGCTGAAGAATCTGTTCCTCCCTGTTGGTTTCAAAATGAACTTTCTTGTTTCCTTCTCTTCCAGGGGACGAAAACGAGGCTGATGGAGGCCAAGATAGACCTACACCCGGAGGTTTCCCGTGGGGCGTCAAGCCTAGAGTGCAGTCTACCGTCACAAGGGGACCGCAGGTTGTAGTCCATGTTTCCATTTACCAGGGCAACCCATTTGGGGTACCTAACTTTGACTCACAGCCATACGTCCAAAATGGAACCCTGGCAATCCACCCCGCGGATGTGGTTGAGATGCCTGTAAGATTGTCCCTTGAAGTGAGCCGCCTGGCCACTTGGAAGGCAATTCCCACTCAGTCAACTTGGATGGTTGCCCCAGGGGTGAGTATGCGACTGAAGTCCCCGGACTCGGGTTTCAGGCGACTTACACTCCCTCCCACATTGACATGGCACCTGACAGGTCCTTGCAAGAGGAAAATGATCTTCTAGGTACCCTCCCACAAATGCTATATGAGTGGGAGGAAGTTTTTTTTTTTGGGGGGGGCTGTATGAACCAGGGAAGTGGACCACTTGGGCTCATCCAAGAAAACGTCAAAATTGGTGCGGCTCCTTTAAGGAGGAACCATAGGTTTGGGAGACCAAAGCGCAGCCATGGGTGGCTCTGTTTGTCTTGTGGGTACCTTTTTGGGTGGTTTTAACGGCAGAACGAAAGTAAAGCCACATGTATTTATTTGTCTTAAAAAAAAAGGGTTCCCCTGACAAAAAGGCACATCAAGTTGGGTGCTACGAAGATCATGATTCTCAGTTTCCCCGGTAGCACCGTTGCTCATGGCTCGATTTTGGGGCAAGCGCCTTGCCCCCACGAAGCAATCCAATCTGATCGAACGGGTGCTCAGGATGTTGGTCCAGCCCCGCAGAATGGGAAGCCAGATTTGTAAGTTCCAAAACCGGTGGAACGTTTGCCTCTGTCTCGAGAGAGAATGGTTTGGGGCCATCTGGACTCCCCGCTGGTCTGGACAAGGGCCACTTCCAGGCACGCCGCCAGGAAGCTTGTAAGGCATCAAAGACCGCAGATTCTAAGCAGTGTTGAATCTCCATACCCCCCAAAGCGCCCGGCGGTTCTCAAAACTGAGGACTGATACGGGTGGGTGCTTTCCTTTCGGTAACAAATTTTTCCATCCAAAAACGAGTCCTTTGTTGAGGCACCTGAAAAAGGTCCATCCCCAAGAATGGGGGTCCGACTCCTTTTGTTGAGGCACGCCCTCACCTCCTCACCTTGGTTGAGGCACGCCCTTACCTCACCTGAGAAAAAGGTCCCAGTTTGTTCCAGCGGTCCGATTCCATTGTTGAGACGCGCCTATTCCTGAACCTGTCGCACTTTTCTGGCGAGGAGATGACGCAGCACAGCCAGTACTGCGTGGTGCGCAACGCCAAGGGCCAGGAGATGCTGGAAATTGCCAAAGATCGCCTCCGGATGGGCGAGGCGCGCGCGTCTCCCAGTGCAGCCAGGGGGAATTTTGTTCATGGTAGCCAGGGGAATCGTCAAGGTTCTTGGCAAGATTTTGCTTGTTGGCTTTGGTTTTTGGGGTCTGTTCATTTTTAGTAGGGGGCTGAAAAAGACAACGTTTTTGAAACCATACCAAGGGTTGTGAAGCAAATTATCCCTGGTAATACTGAGAGGAAATGCAAGGAAGCTAGAGGCAAGACAACGAAGCGCTGGGTAATATATTCCAGTGGTTTACCCCTATAAAGAGGATTACATCTGGTTTTCAGGTACCCCACAAGTCCATTCAATTGATTGTCGATGGACACAATTCACTTTGCATCCGTTGGCAGGTGGTGTATCCCACTATTCACAGGTTGTCATCGTTTCACTTCTTGTGCAGAATGTTGTCCATCCAGGGTATGTCACAACCACAAGTGGGTGTGTCTTAAAATAGGGGACCCCGGCCTCCACAGAATGGTGGTTTTTCTTTTGGTTTCCCTTTGAACCCACAAATCACAAGTGGCCCTCAGAGAAAGCACAACCACACACACAAGTGGGACAGAGGAATGAACTTTCGGGAAAGACCCAAACGCCAAGCAAGGCGTAGCCCTATTGTCGGCTTTCCATGGACGTAAAACCTTGTAATGACAAGATGATAGCACGGGGAGGGATCAGCCAAAGTCTATGAACGTTGCCGAGTTTTGACCAAGCTGACACTGTTGGGTCCGAGCTTTCTTTGAACAAAGATTCGACAACAAGCGCCGTGAACAAAGGTACCAGGTCTGGCAAGGGAGGCCCCTTTGGGTTGCTACCAAGGTTCAACGAATCCGTGTGGCCTTTTCAAAAGGCCCAACTGAGCCTTTGCTCAAACCTTATATAGACCTTTTGCGAAGACATGGAGTTCAAAGACCAGGTTGGGTCTTAATCCACCCCTTTCGATAAGGGATACCCAAACCCGGGGCAAGTCACTTTACTTCCCATGGATATGTTTGGGTTTTCTTTTGGCACACTTCGGGACTTGGGTGGGTGGCTTTCCTCTTGGGCGCCGGGTGGGATTGGTTTTTCATCCACTCCAATCGGGTTCAATCCATCCGCGAAGCGGATCTTGTAGCCATGGAAGCATCCTTTACCCTTTAAACACATCCAAAAGGGGACACCTTTTTAGAAGCATTTGGTATACCAGCTGAAAAAGGGGAGACCTTCCGTGTTTTTTTGGTACAGGTTTAGACGCGTTTGTTCTTGGAGGGCTGGGAGTGCACTGTTTGCTGTAGCTGGCTCTGCTTGGGGCGTGCATTGCAAGTCGGTATTTTGTTTTTTTTTGGGGGGGGGAGGTAGAATCGGTTTCCCCCAAACAAAAAGCAGAGTTCTGGGAAACAGATCCTTTTCAGTCTATGCGCTTCTTAAAGTCATTCAACCATCATGCGCACGACCCATGACCGCCAACCATGTTGAAACCAATCAACAAAAAGGTCTTTGTCTTTGTAGACACTCCACCAAAAACGGGGTACCTCAAAGAAGAGTCTAAACCCCACAAAGACACTCCACCAAGAAAAACGGGTACCCCAAAGGAAGACTCTTAGCCTTCAACAAGGGCTACCCCACCAAAAGGGCTGCCCCACAAAACGGGGTGCCTCTAAAGCGCCCCAGGTGGACTTGGAGGTGCCGGGCCGCGTGGATCGCTTTGGGCTGCTGCCCCAAGTGCTAAAACCTGAGCTGGACCTCGCCTTTGGCCGGCGCAAGGCGCGAAATCGAGACGCGCCGGCGCGCGTTTTTTGATTTGGTGCTTATGCTGGCGAATTCGTACCCCCTGTGAGCCATCCCTGTGGATTTTCTTGCTGGACGGTGGTTGAAGGAGCCTGGGATCACTGGGGGTGTATCCCCACTCTTGGGATACAAGGGAATCCCTTTGTTCCTACCATTCCCCCAAACAAGACTTCTGTTGGCTTCCTTAAACCAACCTCCGAAAAAGACGAGCCGCCCATTCTTGGCGAGCCCTTCCAAAGTCCAGCGAGGCCTCAGTGGGCCCGCCGCGCTGGCTGGCGGAGCTGCTGTGCGAGCTGCTCACGCGTCTGGGCCCGCAGGCCTGGGACTGCGGGGGTGGGGGGGGGGTGCCATGGACACCTAGAGTCTATTTTGCAACCAGACCATACCCTTAAAAAAACAACACCCTAAAAGAAGGAGGTTGCAAAATAGACCCTAAGTGTCCACCATACCCGGGGGGGCGGGGGGGAAGGGACGCGAGGCGACCGGCCGTGACCTGAGCCGCGAAACGTTTTTTTTTTGCAGATGTTACTACCCGGAAGTGACCGTGCCCCCCTGCCTGGATTTCGACCAAAGGTGCCCAGTGGTCGCTCCGGTGTCACCGGCCCAAAGGCTCATGGGGCCTGGCGGGGGAGGGAGGGGAGGGGCAACTCGGCCCTTTTTGGGCCCCTGCCCCCAAGAGAGACCGACTTTTCTCGGAATGGGAAACTTCAAGAGACTTCAAGGGAAACTGCAAGGAGCTTCAAGGGAATGGGAAGCTCCCTTACGGGCACGCCCAAGTAGAGGTCAAGTGGAGGGCCTGGGAGCGAGGTCTTCGACTTCCCCCCCCCCCCCGCCCGCGGCTTCAGGGCCTGGACTTTGCGAGGGCCTCCATTGAGCGCGCCACGGTGCGGAACCTCGTCTGCCTGGAGGCCGGGGGCCCGAATTTCGTGGTGAGCCCGGCGACCTTGAAATGGGATGGTGAGTGGAAACATAGGCGGAAACCCGCAGGAGCCCCGGCGGGTTTCATTTTGAGCCACACCCATTTTTTATATACGTGTGGAATGGTTTTGAGGGTTGGTTTGGCTCAAAGTCAGCTGGAACTTGTGGTGCACCACTTGGCCTTGCGCGTTTCAGGGCACCCAGAGCTTTTTGCAGAGCCCCTTGGTTTTGATTTGGGGGGGGGTCCATTTAAGAGGGGGTTTTGCACTTGCACTGCTTTGGGGGAATTTTCTGGCCTACGTGTCGGCTGGAGCCAGGCCATGCGCGGCCAGAAGGGCAGCCCCCGCACCTCGGCGGAGCTGGGCGTGCCCCGGCACGCGGCCAGGATCCGGGAGAAGTACCAGGACCTCTACGAGGAGAGCCGAGAGACTACCAGCGATGCGGGAGGGGGTGTTTTGGGTGGGGAACCAAGATTGAAGACCAACCTAAAACAGGGTGCGGAGTTTGTTTCTGTCCATGGCCACTGTCATAGAAAAGGTGGTGCTACTACCTGGTTACTACCTGGTCTTGCGGTTGGTTTTTGCAAGTATAACCATGTCAGTATGCTAGTATGTTTGTAGAACCATACATCAATATTCACTGGGTTACAACCAGTTATATACGTACAACCCCCTAATAGGGTGAACTCCACTGAGGGAGACATGTTTTCGTGGTTGGCAACCCCTCCACCCAAGCAGTGACAAGGGGATTTCTGGGCGGCATTGAGGGAAAACAAAATATGGGTTTGTCTCCCGCAAAAGAGCCAAAGACGCACCCATAGGTTGTTTTTGCCTTGTTTTGAAGCCTTCGAAGAAGTTCGTGAGTGGTTGGGATTGGTTTACAGAGTGGTAAACGGAGCTGAGACCTCCCATGTGTCTTTTCTTGGTGGAGGGGTTGCTTGCCCGCATCAATACCAACAGAAGTGGCTGTTTTCCTATGGCTAAGTTGTGAAACTGTGGCAGTGTACGTGTATGTGTTTGCTTCCTGCGTGGATTTGTAGAGGGCAATGGTTTCTTACAGGGCGCAGTTGTCCAAAGCTGCCTTTCCCATCTTGGCGACCGGTTTTGCATCAAGGTCCTGAACGATTCCGGCGCGATGGGTTCCTGGACAACCACCAGACAAGCCCCTTATGTAGCCCCTGTACTTGGATGACTCTGGTTGAGTAATTGGTTGTATGTAGGGCAAGCATGACGTTGAGAATGGGCGTGATTTGCATGATCCAATTCGCGGGTAATTCTTTCACATAATTACCCCTTGGGAAATTCCCTGATTTCAGGTTTGTGAGTTCTGCGCACAAATGCTGGCCCCTGATTTTGTGTGTGGGGGAAAAACCGTAGGGTGAGCCAGCACTGACCCTGACTGCAAGTTTTCCTTTTTTGCCGCGGTCAAACGCTTGCTTGGGGTTGATCTAAACCGATTCCTAAGCGAACCAGCTTGGCCCAAAGATGCGGATTTCGGACCGCGGGCAATTGTGGGTTCTTGAGAGAACGCCCAGCCACTGAATCAACACCTTGGCAGAATAGGGGTCATAGTACATTTTGCACTACCTAAGCAACCATGAAAAACCATGGTTTGTTGGTATTTAGAGGGGAATCATCATTCCAGGGTTTCTTAGGTGGTGCAGGATTACGTTTATCCACAGCAGCTCCCTTGGCAGGATCAAAGATTGCCCAACAAGAGTCTGCGCCTCCCCTCTTTGAATGCCCATTTTCAGAATTTCCCAGCTAGTGTCAAACATGGTTCAGGCACCTTGGTACGTTTTTGGTGGTGTTGCTTCAATGGTGCGATATTTGGAGGAGAAATATACAGGCTCCCAGTTGTGCAAAAAGACGTATTGCCATGGGTACCAGTTGGGATGGATGAACTATGGTTCTTGAAAGAACCGTGCTATCAACTGTGTGGCTCAAAATTTAAGGGCTAGGGTTACGCAGGTGTTGGTCGTTGTTTCCATTTACCTCCACTTGCCTAGGGGCCATGATGGGTACATTTTTTTCAGCCACAAAAACTGGTGCAAGATGTTGTCCATCCACAGCCAGAGGTGGGTTCCTTTTCAAAGACGCAGGGGCACCTGGGCCCTAAATCAAGCCAAGAGGCTGTGTACTTGACTGCTATTGGGTTGGATCTTTAGACTGTAACTTTTTGGCAAACCAAGGAGGTCTTCCACTAAACGCACAAAAAGTTTCAATCTTTTTGCAGAGATGCCAAGTGGTGCTCAAAGGGCGCCCCGACCACTGCCCTGTGAAAGGAAAAAGCAGAAGCTGAGAGGGGTCGTTACAGCAACCAAGTGTGGAATTCCCCAATCTGGAGACATCAGGAGTTGCTGGCGGCCTACAGCGACGGCACCGTGCAGTGAAAAAGTTCCCAAATTTCTGAGCGGTGAGTCGATGGGGTGCGGTGGAAATCAGTCTGGAACACACTGTCTAGGTCCCCCATCTAGGTGCCCCTTTTGCCCTTTTTGGGGGAGGGTTCCCCTACTAGAATAGACTACAGAAAAAAGGGTGCCCTTATTCTAACCTCTCTACTGGAGGACCTAGCTTCTGGCTGGAATCGAAATCCATCTCGCACCACCCTTCAGAAACCCTGGATTCTGATGATTTCCAAGTAAATAGCAATGAACCTTGGTTTCCCATGGTTTCGAATTGATGCAGGATTTTGAACATATGGGGGTTGCTCAAAAGTCTCCGTAGAACATGGGAGAATTAGGAAGACCACCAAAGAAGTCAATTCTCCGCAAATCCGCGTTAAGACAACTGGCTTCGTAGGTAAGGACAGACCCTTGAGGGGAGGCAACAAGAGTCCAAAGAATTAGAATAGGATGTCAGGTGACAAGGGTCACATGATCCCGAGCAACCAGTTGGTACAAACCCATTGTGGGTGGCTTGTCTCTTTTTGAGGGCACCACTTTTTTGTGTTTTTTGGTGGAACCAAAGGAAAACCACCTGCTTGGAGGGTCCAACCTACTGTGGATGGACGAAATCCTGCACCACTTTGAAACCATGGAAAGCCAGTTTTTGTTGGTATCTACGCGGATTGGGGTTTACAATACGTTTGCCGGAAAGCAGGGTACAAACTGGACAGCTTTTCTTGGGGGATTTGACCCGCTTGGATCCGCGTGATCAGATGCAGAAGTGGCGTCCAATCTTTGGTGCAGGCCACATGCCAAAGTAACTTTTTTTGATTTGATCAAAGGAGCCACGGGCAAGCTGAACAAGGGACACTGGGTGGGCCAAGTGTCACAATTGGGTGGGCCTGCGGGAACGACTGGGGGTTTCTCTTGGTTGTCAAGTGCAAACCCCCCAGGGTTCCCTTGGGCGCTTTCTTTTCGTTGGTACCTCCACGTCTGAGTCTTTTGCGCTGCCCTGTGTTCGGATGCGCCGATTCGAGTCGAGTCGCCAGGCGATGATTCCTGAGGCTTGCTTGCCACCCTGGGCCAAGGCGCGGGAGGATCTCGGGTTTGCCAGCTGAAACGCACCGTTCTGCCTCCGAATTCATCGTATTGAACTAGGTTCTGCCCACACTGCCTATACCAAACTAGGTCCCCCATCTAGGTGCCCCTTTTACCAACCTTTTTTTTGGGGGAGGGTTCCCCTACCAAAATAGACTAGAGAAAAAAGGGTACCCTTATTCTAACCTCTCTACTGGAGGACCTCCTGGTGGACGTTTGCAATTGCTGTTTTACCGCTCTTCTTTTGCGCCATAGAGACTGGGTTTGCTCTCTGCATCCAACACTGTTTGATGAGTCTGGCCTGGCAAAGGTACCCACAGGCCAAGGGGGGGAACACGGAACACCAGGCTGCGGATGACATCCACGCAGGTCAGCACCATGAAAGCTGATGTTGTTCTGGGACCAAGCACCAATCACCAATCCCATCTGATGCTTGGCGTATGTTGCAACTATCCGCAGTACGGGTCATGCCTCTGCCAAACTCGTGCAAGTTCAGGCATGTCCCGCTCAATCTCAATTCAATGGATTCTGCAGATTTCAGGTGGGTTCTCTTTAGTGGGAAATTGATCGATTGTTTCCAAAGGGACACCTGCTTTGATTCGACTTTCGACATTTGAGGGGTTTCATGGGGTTCTTCTGAGATCTCAGAGTTGTTTTAAGCCTTTATTTTTTCTTCGGGGTATTGGAATTCCCCCGCCTTCCATTTGACTGGATATGTCTGATAGTCCCTTGGCGTTCAAGGGAATCGATTTCACTACCGGACACATGTCCTCTTTTCTTGTCCATGGACCAACGCAATGGATTCTTGGGTTTTCAGGCAGGTTGTTCGCAACCTACGCCACTTCGTCCCCAGGTAGATGGAGCCCTGCTACAACCAGGTCCCTCAGTAGTGCCCTTTTACATTTTTTTTGGGGGGGGCGGGGGAGGGTTTCCCGACTAAAACAGACAAAACAGAAAAACAAGTGGGTACCCTTTTTCGATCACCTCTCTGTTGGAGGACCTAGACCAGGTAACCGAGGGAACCTCCAGAAAAGACGAGAAACACATGCCTTTGTCTGGGATCCACCGACTTCCTTTCGGGCACGGAGGCTTGAGGATCTACTGACCGAGCCACTCTGCTCAGCTCACAGAAACCGAGCGACTCGCGACTCGCGAGGCGGGGCTGAAATGCCCATATGGGCACACGCCCGGCACTCGGAGAACGACTCTCGCGGCTTCTCGCAGTCCTTGACTGGGCCTCTTCGTGCAAGGGGACTTTGTTTTTCGAAGAATTGAAAGGCTACATGGGTTTGTGTGTCTGTGGCTTCTTGAAGGCAGGCCTTTTTGGGGGTTGGGTGAAGGGGAAACCAAAAGGAATGCCACTTTGTGGGGGGGCGCCCATGGGTTTACGGGTCCACAGCAGATCATTTCAGCCCTTTTCCCCGTGGGCGGTTTCCCACCCAGACTGATAGGTGGGTGCAAATCCTTTTCACCTTGTTGCGCCATTTTAAGTCCATCAACCAAAAAGGGGCGCCAGTTGGCTGAAAGGCAATTATTCAGGTGCTTTGTTTGGGTTGTGTAAGTCCTCTCCCCTTTGGATCGTGAAACCGGATTGGCTGATCCTGAAATTTGAAGCGACCATTTTGTGCCTTCAGAATTGGCCAACGGGGCCCCGATTCTTCCCTGATTTCCTTTGGGAGAATCTCTTTCACCTGGGGTTTTTCATAGCCTCAACTAGCCCAGCCCTTGATCTTCATTGTCTCTGCCTATGGAGCGAAAGGTCCAAGGAGTGATCCAGTGTGAACACCGCAAAACCCTTTTGGGGTGCCCGAGCACTTTGAGAAGCTTTGGTCCTTTGTCCAAGCGCGTGATGCAGCTCAAAATTCTCGGCAAAAGTGCAGGTCGGGCACTTTTGATCTCAAATTGGAAACACTTTGGCTTGAGATCAGGCTGAAAACTCGTTGAAACTCTGAACTTGTACTTTGGTCACTATTGCAGCAAATGATGAGACAGATATCATCCCAGGCTGAATTTGGAATGGGCTTCCCCCTGCCAAAGTGAGGTTTGGGAACTAGCATCTCTGCAGACTGAATTTGGAACGATTTCCCCTTGTAACGTGTTGCAGACTTCTTTGTTTACCCGGCCAACCTGCAGTCGGACAAGTTCGTTCGGCGAACAGCCTTTGGCCTTTCAGGTCGGTCAGCTATGCCGTGCCCATAGCCACATCTAGGGCACACGCCTTGCATCGAACAACAAGTCCCCTATTTTGAGACACATGTGCAAATGGGCTGTTTCGATGGCGAAGTGAATTCCGACCCGTTTTGGGTCACTCGTCACGCCCTTTACTGTCTACTCACCCCGTTGTGTACCCGCAAGCCAGTAACTGGAGCTTGAAACAACCATAAGTAGTGGTTTCCCAAGCAACCATTTCCTGGGAAGGATAGACCCGCTTCATATAAAATGGTCGCTTGGTTGGGTCAATGGTTGTCTCAGGCTTGAGGCATTTCACTATTATTGACATGTGTTTAGTATTCATGTTTGTTGATTCCGTTCATGTTTAGTGCGTGGCTGGAAGAAACAATGTTTTTTGCGCACATGCCAAGGATTGAACAGTAAGTGAAGCAAAGCCGAAAAGCCGCTTCTATTATGTTTAAATGGGAAATAGCCCGTGAGACGTATGTTTTGTTAAAACTGGTACCCGCAAACTTGGCTGGCTGAAAGGGAAGCCAACATGAACCCTGAACTGCATTTGTGGGAAGAACGACACGTCGGAGTTTGGCTAGTTTGAGGTATGGCGGCTTGATCGGGACATTCACCTGGCCCAACCAAGGCGCATTTTTTTTTCCCGCTCGCGCTGGACATAAGGGGCCCCATAGAATTCATCGATCATGTTGGGTGTCTTCGTTTTTTGGAAACACCCTCAAATGGCATTTCCATTAAGCCTACAAAAGGTCTAACGACCTCGTGCTCGTCCGGGCTAGAAGAGCGTCACGACCTCACGAAGGGTGGTTTCCCGGCGGGCTCGCAGCCGTTCAATTCAACTTGAATGGCTCACTATTGGCCAACTGAAAGTGTAGGAGGTGTTGGGAATTCATCCCGCAGCACTTGCCAGAGGAGAGTCGACCATGTTGGGCATTTGTGAAAGAACTCCTGGATTTGTTGGTGGCCAGCGCCGTGTTTTTCCCAGCCATGTTCCTTTTCGGAGCGTCGAACAGTGGCAACGGTGTCAACTGAAGCCACCCGAGAAATTGCCGAACTTTTGAGTTGGAGGAAATGCCGTCAAGGATCCTGACAAAGAACCAATCAGGGGTCGACTTTGGACTCCCCTTCCAAAGTTGATCAAATTTCGGGTTCCAAAAAGGAAAATGGAGGGAAATCCTTTCGTGATTTTACTTTTGGATCCCAAAGGAATCAAGTTTGTGGACTTGCAGAACCTTGGATTCAACCCACTCGGGTGGTCAATATCCCCAGTTGAGTCACCTTTGCGTGAGTTAAATGTACGGCCAGACCCTATCGCTTGTCCGAGAGCGCCTGCCGCGGTTCCCGCGCATGTGTTTCCAGCTCGGCTTAGGGGCGGGCTTAACCCTAAACCGAAACCTAAACCCTAAACAGATGGCTTGGGTCGGCCAGCAAGCCTCATATGTCCCCGGGCAAGCAGGGTCTGGGGGTACATGGCTCAATCCGACGGAAGGGGGAGTTACTGTGGAATGGTTTCAGCCATGGTTTCATTTCGGTGGTGCGAGACTCGCGGATTTCGTACCATCGACAGTCATGTTGACCCAGGATTAATAAACCCGTCCCAATATTAGGGGGGTGGAAACCCCTCCAAAAGTGGTCTGAGTCCCCACTAAAAGGGGACACCCCCAATCAAAATCAACCAGGGGTTCTAAACAACTAGTAACTGGCGATATTCGATGGTCCAAAGTCTTGCCAGGCGTGACATGGCTTACCTACGTGGCTGCAGCTTACTCCACGATGCCCATCGTGCTGCCTGGCGAATGAGTCTTTTTCGCGTCGCGTCCAAGAAACGAATCCGTCCCAGGTTTCGGATTTTTCTGTCAGGGTGGTTCCATTTTTTGCCTCTTCCAAGGTTGACGCAGAAAGCCAGGGTTCCGCTCATTTCCCCAGACAAAAACAAGAAAGTTTTTCGGGTCCCGGGTTTAGGTCTACCTTGGGGTAGTCAACCAATGGCACCCGAGTGTAGCCCTAAATGAACAGTGCCCAGGCCGCACACGTTGGCCATGCGGTGTTTTGGTTCTAGGCAGGGCAAAGAACCTTCGGAGCCAGGTTGGTAGATCCAGAAGCCACATGAGCCATTTTCTCAAAACCCGGTTTGCCATATATTGGTGCGGCCGCCTGTTTAATGCTCTACATGGTTTTGGGTACACCATTTTAACATCAGGTTTTGGATTGTGACTCACATTTGATGTGCAAACCTCAGTGGTTTTAATATGTCTGTCCGACCAGGTACGGTTGGTTTTTCGGCAACACGTCTGGGTAATATGTCAAAATAGGGAGTTGGACCCTAAAAATCTGTGTTTTTTTTGTGTGTGTGTGTGTGTGTTGGTTTTCCTCCCTTTATCCAACCTGAACAGGGCACGGAGCGTCAGCACCACATGGCGCTTGGTTTTTGGCTTTAGGTGTGCTGGCGTCAAGGTGCGTGGTCTCCCGAGTTAGGGCACCTAGGTGATAACGACTTCGCCCTCAGGGATGGGAATCACAGTCACCTGGAAGACTGCCATCCTCTTGAAACGGCCCCTGACACACTTCTATTGGAACAGTCTAGCCTGGTGACAAAGCTGTAGTCTTGAAATGGTACAGTCTACCCTTCCTTCAAACATGGCACCTGCGGGAGGTACCTGCACAGGAAAGATCAGGTGCCTCTCAATGGGACCCGTCAGGAGGCGGTCAGGTGTGGCAGTCCCTCTGCCACACATGAGGGTTCCACCCGGTTTCTCTTGGATTTCCAGGCCCACCTCCCACGAGTTGGCCATGGTTCAAAACCAATGGTACAATTTTGGGACAGGTGCACCACCCATTTTAGAACCTATTTTAGTGGTTGGTTTTGGATGTTCACTGGGGGTACGATTTGGGTTTTGACCCATGGCCGGTTCTGAAAGTTCCTTCGCCCCAAGGCTCATTGTGGGCCTCTTGGTCCTCGGAGTATGGACCGCATCATGGCTGGGATCTGGGGTTAGGAGCCCAAGACCTCATTTGAGCCCCGTGCTCAAACCCGATTCGGGTAGATGAAGCTTAGTAAGGGACAATCCCAACCATACATAGCTGCGGATATCCGCCTTCTTAACTCTTTACATGGCTCTTGGTTCACTTTTTTTGTACCGGGTTTTGATTCTGACTCATTTGAGGCCTCAAGGGGGGGTTAAAGGCTCTCATAGTCAGGGTCCAAGGGATGCGTTTTTAGGGTGAAATAGGAAACATAATCCGATCCATGTTCTTGTTGGCGGGTCGGTACTGTGGTTGCAACATCCTTGCCGATCGGCAACAATTGGATGAAACCCGAGTGGAATGCTTGGAAAAGCCACCCAGCACCTAGTGCTGATCGGTGCGGACAGTAGGAATGGTCATGGCCGTCATGGACGTCATGGAGATTTGTGACTGTCGTGGTAAGGATTATTGAGGGAGCATCATGGAAGAGTTCATCGTGCAGCGATGGAGGTTTGTTGTTTGAGGTTCTTGGAGACGCGGAGGCACCGGCTCAGCTTAAAATGATTGCTGTTTCTGGGTGTCAACGTCGAACACTGGCCAACAAAAAGGGTTTTCCTGTTGGCCTACTGTTACTGGGGAGTTCTGCGCCAGATGGTGGTTTTCCAGTTGGCTTTTCCCTCTAGTTGGAGGCTAAGCTTCGGCTCGCTCCGCAACACGTGTCCCGGCCCAGAGAAGGAGGATCAGCTGCGGGTGGTGACCTTGGCTCTTGGGTCTCTCTGTGTATTGTTGGGTGTTTTTTCTTGCAAAATGGAATTTAGAGTTCCTTTTTTCCCTGGGGAAGACTGGATAAATGGAATTGGGGGACCCCCTGCCCCCTCCCCCCTAAGGTAGGGGGGATGTTGGGCGGGGGGGGGGGGGCGGGTTGAAGCCCAGGTGGCCGAAACCCCGAAGGACTTCTTCAGTCACCCTGTCACCCAGCTGTGCAAACACCCTCCACAGAAGAGGAGTCCCAACGACACACACACAGATGCAGAAGAAGAAGGAAAACTCGGGAGTGCAGATCGTCCTCGGCTCCTTTTATGGCCCATCCATCATTTAAAGTGAGTTCCACGCTTTTGGGCCATGTTAGTTTCCCCCCCCCTATCGAGGACATCTGGGTCCCGACCCACGGCAATGCGACTCATTCGCTCCTCGATTGCGACTTTTGCAGGACCCGAGGGGTGCGGGAGTTGATCGCCCTCATCTTCCAAATCATTTGCCCACTGGCGCCGCCCTAAGAGACCTCGATGCCGCTGTTCTTTTCCTTTTTTTTCTCCCAGGACCTGGGGGTCCCCTAAAAAAGAGAGGAGAACAACGATCCGAAATGGTACACTCCAAAGTTAAGACACGGGTATGCGTGAAAAAATCACGAAAGGGTTCCGATGCGACAGAACACCATGATCACAGTGCATGGCTGGTCTATCAGGGGTGAGCGAATCGCCCCATCAGGACCTTTTGGAAACAAATGGGTTTTCCATTGAACCTAATTACAAAAGGTTAGTTAGACCTACGAGTTGGTCCAGTACACCCGCAATTTGGTGTTCTATTAGCCCCCTTGGTTTTCATTGGACCTTTGGCTGCTTGCAGCAGGTTCAGGCAAGCGGCAAGTGCCGTTCCGGCTCCAGGAGCAAGCCCAATGTTGTGGTTTGACCATGTGTCTATGCCAAAGGGTCCCGGCGGGTTGGCTGAAGTACATTGCCAAAGGATCCATGCCACATCCCAAACTCAAGCACCAAAAATCATATGTCATTTTTTTCCAACTCAAGTTGGACCCAACTCAAACTCGACAAGTAAAATATTACTCCCGGTTTTTTGCTTCATCCCGTTTTGCTTTTTCCGCTTTCGAACTCCGGCCGCTTGACCCCGCGCGCCTTTCCGGGAAGTCGTCGCCATGATGCGTGGGGGCATGGACTCGGTGGGCGACAAGTCGCGCCTCGGCCGGCGAAACGGACTGAGAGAGGACGGTCTGACGATCGTTGCCTGGGTTTCCAGGCAATGAGCCCAGTGGTTGACGTTTGTTTTTTCTTTTACGAAAAGAACCGGGGTTTGCCATTCACATGGATTTGCACAAAGGTTCGGGTTTGGACTATATATGAGTGTTCTTTTACAAGGGACCCACGGGTGGGTTTCACGTTGACGAGAGGGTACGCTTTTTAGGGTTGGTTTACGAGAGACCTGCGGGGAAAAACGAATCATTTTGGGATGCGAGGGATTCGGAAGTCCTTGAACCTCGAGGCAAAATAGGCCACCAAAACCAAAAAGGGACCAAATTATCAGGTTACGACGAAACCCGAAGATCATGCCCCCTGTATCAGCTCGAGCTCGCCTTGGTAAAGATCCTTTACTTGAGGATCCATTTCTTATTTCAGGTTTCAGAATTATTGGAAAAAAAAAGCAGAATCAATCCGAGGTTGACTGAGGAATATAGGCCGTTAATAAGTCCTCTAGCCCGGATGTGCCCTGCATATGGGCTTGTCACCCTTTTTGGCGGTTTCAACGGGAAACCAAAGAGAAACTAACCATTTTGTGGGTACCCTATTTTAAGACACACCCACATATATATATAATCCATTGAAAGACTGGCGTATTTGTAACGTGCTCACTAACGTGCTCACTGGGTAAGGAGCCAGCTTTTCCATTGTGGTCATGGACCTGACTCTAGTGGGGATTGTAGGCAACCAACATGTTCCCAAGAAAACCGTGACATATGGGCGCCGGTGCTGTTCAATTGTCAGTTTCCCCGCTAAGCATGGAAAAGTGGATCATCCAGTGCATCCCACGCCGGCCTTTGATTGCCTCCTGTCATATGGATAGACCAGCTGGGTGGCTTATCCCAGTATTCACAGCATGTTGCCCATCCCAAGTGTTATACCAGTAAATTGCCCAGATTAACCTTAGAGGTAAAAATGGAATCTTATGCTTTTGGTGGAAGACCATTTTAGTGGGAAACAACAAGTTGAGACTTTTGCAGCCAATTCACTCATTCGGAAGTCACTTGCACTGTTCTCTGTGTGTTTTTCCTACTTTTTGTTTTTGTTGGGGTTTGTTCGTTGTTACGGGGTGCCTGCAAACAGCAACGTCTTTTGCTAGCATACCAAGGTTTCGCATTGCACAGGGGATTTCCCCTCGACAAAGGTCTTGAGGTCCAGTTCAATTGTTTAGTATTGCTGGAGCTCTCTTTTGAGATTTGGTTTTGAGTTTGCATTGCTGGAGGTTCCGTTTGTTTGACATTTGGAATTGGGTTTCCGTGTGCCGTAGTATTGCTGGACCTTCCTTTTGATATTTGGATTTGAGTTTCCATCTGATTTAGTATTTCTGGATTCGAGTTTCTATTTGATTTAGTATTGCTGGAGCTTCCTTTTCAGACTTTGAATCGAGTTTCCATTTGATTAAGATATTGCTCTGACGAATGCAACTTGCCCAGTGTAATTTGCTCTTAGGTAGTTAGATAATTATTTCGACAGCCCAGGTGATGCTGGTGAAGCTTCAGGCTTTGTTGTTAGATTTGGACTTGCTCCCCCAAATCCAAAATGATCAGCATCCCAACTCATATGTTCTTACATGTCTCTTGTTTAACGAGCAGTACTTCAGGCAACCACGTTGACTCTGTTTCAGCGATACTAAATCAAATGGAACCTTAAATTCAAATCGCAAATGGAAGCTCCAGACTTGATTGTAAAGGCCCCTGAAATAAAGTATTGGGCTCATTCTCTATGGCAGCCCATGGGCTGCCTCTGCTCTTCTCTCCTTCTTTCTCTTCCTTCTTCTTTTTGTAGATAATCTGTTCTTTCCAAGATATTGCTTGTCTTAAAATCAGGGAGTATTTATTAATCTTCTCGGGCCACTCATTTGTCTTTTTTCCAGGTGCATTTGTTAAGCATAAGTGGCACACTACCCTTTTCGGGGTAGGTTTTTTCGGCGTCCCAAATGAACACGACCCATTTTCGGGGGCGGGGGTGGTCCGAGCCACGCCATTCCGACGAGACTGAGGCACGTGATCCGCAGCGTGTGCCGAAACCACCGGAAGGGCTTCGGGGACATTGGCGACATCACGCGCCAGGCGAAGTGCATGAACTCCGATGTGCGGAGGTGACTCCGCCGAGAAAAAAATCGGCCAAGATTTTTCTCCAAACCGAGTAGGAGAGTAATGTTGGCCCCGTATGAATCAACCCCAGTTTATGAATTCGGGACCCCCGGGGGTGCTTTAGTAGTGGTGGGCCACGCCCAGCAATAAATTGCTTTCATACATACCCCCCACCCTACATTTTTTTTCATCTTCCATCTTCTACCCTTATTTGTTTTCATCATTTTTCTACATTCCTTTCTGTCCATCTCATCCGTTTTTTTATCATCATTTTTCCAAAATTTTCGCCATCCTTTTCTCCTTTCTCCTCGCCTCATTCATTTCACCAACTACCCTCCAAAATGTCATTTCCTCAATCTCCTCACCTCATCCATTTCAAAAAAATAAAGTTTGCAAAATATATTGCAAAAAATATTTGTCATCAAAAAAATATTCGAACTGTCTAAAAACGATTTGTCCATTTCCCGGACAAGAAATAGAACAGCAACAACATCACTCTCCTCCTTCGTTTCATCACTTTTATCATATATTTTTTTGGGGCGTGGTGTCCCTTGTAGGATTTTATCTTCAATATATAAAACGCTATACTGACATTATAATTATAACATATAAGGGTATAAATGTTATTATTATAGTATGATTAATAATTATGGGTTACATTTATAGTCAGGAAAAATGTCTTCAAATATGTAATCTACATATTTATCAATATCGCCAATGTCTATATATTTGATATTGTCTTTTCCTATTATTGAATAAATATATTCCCAGAAAAACAAATTAACTAGTAGCCATACTTGATATTTAGTGTTGTAGTAAGACCATACATGATATTTAGTTATTCTAAATTCATTCAAGACCTCGTTTATTTTATCTTTACTTAATAAATGCCAATCAATCGCATCAAACATACGTCGAAATTTTTTAACGAATGCTTTATATGGTTTAATTGCGTTTGTCCCTCCAAACCTTTTAATCAAATCTTTATTATTGAAGAACTCATCAATTTCTTTTTCAAATGACTTTCTTGCAATTGTATGGTAAAAACATACAGGACATCGTTTTTGATATCTCATAAAGAATGTCAATTGTAATTGAAACTTTGTATATCCCTTATCCTTATGTTCTTCAACAAAAAACTTTTCAAGGTCTCTTGTTATACAGCATTGACTACAATATACATCATATTCACTTATTTTATTACATAGATTGGCGGGTAATAACTTATACAATGTTATATGAACATCATTCCTTTTAGTTTTACAACATTCGCACTTTGAATAATTAAATAACATTTCCACTGTAATATATATAGTGTTGATTTCTTTAAATACTTTTTTACAAGAAATAAAATTACATATTGAAATATAATGATAACATATAAGATTTTACATGTTATTATTATAGTATGATTATAATTTCAGTACAGGATAATAATTTAATTGACAAATCTTTCTTCTTTCATACATCATTTTAAATATAATATTAATATCTATCACCATATTGTTAACATTAAACTGTTCACTTTCAATATATGATTTAATGATTTTTTTTACATCAAACCCTTCTTTTCTTTGATACTCCAACATCCATAATATGTAGTCAATCATTTCATACTTTTTCTTACTGATTTTCATAAATGCTCTAACATAATCATAAGGTGGTATTTTATACACAGTTAAAAATATCAAAATGTCATCTTCAACATTTCTTTCATTAAACCTTTTAATATCCAAATTACATTCGATTGCTTCTTGGTAATATCTCCAATTTCTACAAATTTTACATAAATTTTCTTTACCCAAAGAATAATCAATAATATTATTAACTATTCCATTAGGTAAATTCAATTTATATAATTCCATATTTTCTTTTTTGAAGTGGCAACAGTCGTAGCATTTCTTATTGATATAACTGTTGATTTCGGTTTCAACCATTGCTATTATAATATATATATAGTTGTTATTTATTTAAATATTTTTTACAAGAAATAAAATTAAATATTGAAATATAATTATAACATATAATATTTTACATGTTATTATTATAGTATGGTTATAGGTTAATTTCAGGATAATAATTTAATTTGATATGTTCATATTTGGTAAAATTATGTTCATGAATGTATTTTAGTATGTCATT